GTAACACGACATAAGAAAATCAACCAGCACCTTTTTAAAGCTAATTTAACAAGTCTTACTCATTTAATCTGTACAGAAACGACCAGTTGTGCTTAATATCTGGGTGTTATGTGCCGGACTATTTCTTTGGTAGGCGCAGTGACTAGAAGCTCGTCGTCACCTTAAGGTTGCCAGGCAACCAGCACAGACTTCTGCTAGCTGGAACTACTTCTTTAAATGCTAAATATTAATTTTTAATCACGTATCGCGTAACATACTGTATAGTCGCTGCCTGAGCTGGTTGTGTCTGACACAAAGGATGTGTTGATAAACATCACCGTTTATGTAACGTTAGTGTGTTTGTGTGTACTGCGCACTTAACATTCATAGAACCGAGTTACATCCTGGTAACTACGAAGCTATTTCTCGCTCCGCCCAAACAGGAAGCAGAAACAAACACAAGGAGGTTGAAGTACGAGTGAACAAATCTTCCCCGCTTCACTTGTCCTGTAGTTTTAAATATAGCCGCAGGAGAAACACACTTAAAATCATTTTTAGTGCACAGTCATTTTTTCCACATGGACTTTTGACGGGTGATATAAAAGCCTGTGCACTCCTCTCTGAAGCGATGATCATCGATTAATGGGAATAATCAGGAATCTTGCCGCACATTTGATTGTAATTCGTCAAAGTTTAGTTAGAAATCATCACAAGGTGAGTGCACTGAACGTAAGAGACACTTCTGTATTGCAACATATGCACATTAAAATGAGCTTCTTTTGATTTCAGATAATCATGTCGAGACAACTTCATGCAAGCAGAACAGAGGGTGTCGATAAAAACGTTTGGTAAGTGGTAATAAACAAAAGGACATAAGGACATGTGTTTGACACCCAGTAGACTTTAATTATAGGCTGTATGATTAAACCAGACAACCTGTTCCCTTGCGCAAGATAAATCACGTTATGTGTTATTCATGAAGTGAAACTTTCCTTTTCCAGAGAAACATTTGGAGCCTGTTTTTCAGGAGCCTGACTTTAAACCCAACCGTATTCCCATTTTATAACCTTTATATAACCATCTGATCATCAATGCCACCACAGACAAAAACATATAATATATACACATATAATAGGATAGGATAATATATCATAGGATTCTGTAATGTAATGTTATATCATGTAATTTCACACTGATAATCTTAAAACTGGATTTATTTATTTTTTTCACTTCCGAAAAAACAAACATATGGTAGCTTTAAGGTTCCACTTGTGCAAAGAAACAGCCCAACAGTCTTTACAGGGAAATATTTTGTGCTTTTCAGTGTGAAACAAAAAATCTGTTACCTTCCTTTGATGCTTTGCAAAAGAATAATTAATATTTGAGTGTAAAAAAAATTATTTTCTTACTGGATTCATGGCAGAAATCAGACATGGATGCCTCTAAACCTGAACAAATAAAGGCCAAACTACCTGCATGTCTAAATAGATATGTATAGAAAAAAAAATGTTTAGCTTTTTTGTAATTTGGGTGAACTGATCCATAATTTTAACTCACTTTTTGACTTGTTCTAAAAGTTCTTAGACAATGTTTCCTACAGAAATCCTTTATGTAAATATTTAGTTTTGTTGAAATGTTTGCAGGAGCAGTGGTAGCTGAGAACATAACGTATAACTATCACAGGACACGACTTTTGGTCGTATCCATATGGTTGATTAAAGTCATGACTTTGGTAACAGCACTGCATTGTCTGACCTGTTTTGTACCAACAGGGTTGAATTCACACAACTAGCAGCAGACTATAAAGCAGTGAACCTCGGACAGGGATTTCCTGACTTCTCCCCTCCAAAGTTTGTCCAGGAGGCTTTCTGTAAAGCTGTGAGTGGAGGGCCCCTAATGCACCAGTACACCCGAGCTTTTGTAAGTGGAAATACACACTTTATCTTTCTTATCTTATCTTTCTTTATCTATCTTTCTATGCATGTCAGAGAAGTATTCTTATTTTTAGTTCATGTTAGAATGGTTTCAGACATTTTTACCTGGTAATAAAATGACAAATGGACACAGATCAAGCAGTGACAGACGGCTTATGTTTTCATGTAATTTCTTTCCTCAGGGTCACCCCCCTCTTGTAAAAAGTCTGGCTAAATTCTTCAGTAGGATTGTGGGACATGAGATCGATCCATTTGAAGACATCCTGGTCACAGTTGGAGCTTATCAGGCTCTCTTCTGTGCGTTTCAAGCTCTGGTTAATGAAGGGGATGAGGTACGAAAATCAACCCAAGTCAGGACAAAACAGAAAACACATGAAAGTGTTTGAATGTAGTGTATGTTTGGTTTATGATAAAACTCTTCCCCACGGTGCTCAGCACAGGTTGAAAAATTATAAGAATTGGGGAAAACTAATGCCATTTGCTACAGATACTGTGTGTAAAAGTGCTACATACTGTAGTTTCAGTTCCCCAATTATGTGTGGTTAATAACATTTGAAAATAAAGAAACAATGAAATGTGTCTTTCAGGTCATAATTGTTGAACCGTTCTTTGACTGCTACCAGCCAATGGTGAAGATGGTTGGAGGGAAGGCAGTGTATGTACCTCTGAGGCCGGTGAGTGGTTTACTTGTTTGTTGTTTTTTTACAAAACTGTTACAAAACCAAATTTCACCTCTTTCTCTGTGTACATATCAACGTTTGTTTTCTTTTGTTACTTACAGAAAGCTGAGGGCAAAGCCGTCCTGTCAAGTGGAGACTGGGTTCTTTCTGCAGAGGAGCTGGCCAGTAAATTCACTCCACGCACAAAAGCCATTGTTATCAACACTCCCAACAACCCATTAGGCAAGGTCAGACATTTATACACTATAATGTCTGTCTTAAAGCCAGCTGGTTGATGCAACCTGTCTGAAATTCAGTTATTTAACTGTTAAGTCATTTTTGTTGTTTTACTGGATAAAAAGTGCTTTTGTACATAAACACCTGCCACACATTCATTTCATGTCTCTTACAGGTTTACAAGACGGAAGAGCTCCAAATGATCGCTGATCTGTGCATCAAACATGATGTGTTGTGCATCAGCGATGAGGTGTACGAGTGGCTGACTTATGATGGAACCAAGCATGTAAAGATAGGTGAGATACAGACTAGAGGTCATCAGATTGCACTCAAAGTATAAAGCTGCATTATTAATATATTAATTAT